AGATTCACCAGAGTTGAAATAAAGGAGAAAATTCTAAGGACAGCTACAGAGAAAGGTCAGGTTACCCATAAAGGGAAGCCTATCAGACTCACAGCAGATCTCTCAGCAGAAGCCCTACAAACTAGAAGAGAGTGGGGGTCAATATTCAAAATCCTCAAAGAAAAGAATTGTCAACCCAGAATCTCACATCCAGCCAAACTAAGCTTCATAAATGAAGGAAAAATAAAAGTTTTCACGAACAAGCAAGCACTCAGAGGTTTCATCACCACCAGGCCTGCTTTACAAGAGCTTCTGAAAGAAACATTACACACAGAAAGGAACAACCAGTATCAGTCATCCCAAAAACTTACCAAAAGGTAAAGAGTATCTTCATAATGAAGAATCTATATCAACTAATGGGAAAAATAGTCAGCTAGCATTAAATGACAATATTAAACTCACAAATATCAATATTAATCCTAAATTTAAATGGATTAAATGCCCCAGTGAAAGACACAGACACGCAAATTGAATAAAAAGTCAAAACCCATCAGCACACTGTATCCAGATCCATCTCATAAGCAAGGACACACAAAGACTCAAAACAAAGGTTAGAGGAAGACTCACCAATCAAATGGAGAGGAAAAAAAAAAAACAAAACAAAAAGCAGGAGTTGTAACGTCTCTGACAAAATAGACTTTAATAGTAACAAAGACTAAAAGAAACAAAGAAGGACATTACATAATGGTAAAAGGATCAATGTAACAACAGGAGTTAATATAGGAGCACCCACATACAAAAGACTTATGTTCTTAATGACTTATAAAGAGACTTGGACTCCCACACAATAATAGCGGGAGACTTTGACACCACATTGTTAATATTCGATGGATCAACAAGATAGAAAATTAACAGGGACATTTATGATTTGAACTCAGACATGGAACAAGTAAACTCAGTGAATATTTATAGAATTCTTATTCCTTCCTGTCTCCGCTGTTAAGTACAATTATCAGCATAAAAGAGGTTTTTAATACCTTTTTTTAGATTGCATTCCAGCCTGGGCAATAGAGCAAGACTCCTGTTCTCTCTCCCCCTTTCTCTTTCATAAAATAATAATAATAATAATTGTATAATCGCTGGGTTGTCCATGAAATGGTAGAAGTGATCACTTCAATAAGTCAAGGATGCTTGTTAAATTTAGGGTAAGACCTAAAAGAAAAGTATACTTCATATGCTAATAAAGGAGAAATTATCCAAAACAAACAACCTTAATCCAAAAGAAGGAAAAAAGACAGAAAAAAGAAAAGAACACAGAAAGAGAAAACCAATAGAAAGAATTATTAGTAAGATGGTACATTCAAACCCAAATCTATCAGTAAACACATTAGACATAGTGTGTTAATATTCTGATTTAGAAAAAACTGAATTTCAAAAAAGCAAATCTTACATGCCTACAAGGATGAAACCTTAAATATAAGAATGTGAAGAGGTCGGAAGTAAAAGGATGAACAAAGATGTACTATGCAATGACTAATCAAAAGAAAGCTAATTTCCTCTCAGTAAAGAAGGAATAGAGAGGAAACTTTCTCAACTTGATAAGAATATCTGGTCTGGGCATCGTAGCTTATGCCTGAAATCCCAACACTCTGGAAGGCTGAGGTGGGAAGATCAGCTCCAGGAGTTCAAGACCAGCCCAGACAACATAATGAGACCCTGTCTCTACAAAAAATTTAAAAATTACAGCCAAGTGTGGTGGCCCAGACCAGGCATGGTGGCTCACACCTGTAATCTCAGCACTTTGGGAGGCCAAGGCAGGTGGATCACCTGAATTCAGAAGTTCAAGACCAGCCTGAGCAACAGCAACATGACAGAACCCTATCTCTACCAAAACTACTAAAATTAACCAGGCATGGTGGTGTGCACTGGTGGTCCCAGCTACTCAGGAGGCTGAGGTGGGAGAATCACTTGAGCCTGGGAGGCAGAGGTTGCAGTGAGCCAAGATCCCGCCACTCCGCTCCAATCTGGGGGACAAAGTAAGACTCCATTTTGAAAAAAAAAAAAAAAATTAGGCAGGTGTGGTATAGACCCAGCTACCCAGAAGGATTTCTTGTGCTTGGGAGATTAAGGCTACAGTAAGCTGTGATCATGCCACTGTACTCCAGTCTCCAGCCTGGGTGACAGAGTGAGACCCTGTCTCAAAAAGAAAAAAAAAAAACTACCCCAAAACCCAGAGCTAACATTATATTTAATAGTGAAGGCCAGGCATAATGGCTAATGCCTGTAATCCCAGCACTTTCGGTGACCAAGCAGGGCAGGTCACCTGAGGTCAGGAGTTTGAGACCAGACTGGCCACTGGCCAACACAGAGAAATCCCATCTCTACTAAAATAAAATTAAAATTAAAAAAAAAAAAATTAACCAGGTGTGGTAGGGCAGGCCTGTAATCCCAGCTACTCAGAAGACTGAGGCAGGAAAATCACCTGAACCAGGGAGATGGAGGTAGCAGTGAGCTGAGATCATACCACTGCACTCTAGCCTGGGCAACAGAGCAAGACTCTGTCTCAAAAAAAAAAAAAAAAAAAAATAGTGAGACACTAGAAACTCCCACTACAATCACAAACAAGGCAAGAATGTTCCCTCTTACCACTACTCTTCAACATCATACTGGAAGTTCAAGCCAATGAAATAAGACAGGAAAAGGAAATAAAAAGTATACACATTGGCCGGGTGCGGTGGCTCAAGCCTGTAATCCCAGCACTCTGGGAGGCCGAGGCGGGTGGATCACGAGGTCAAAAGATCAAGACCATCCTGGTCAACATGGTGAAACCCCGTCTCTACTAAAAATACAAAAAATTAGCTGGGCATGGTGGTGCGTGCCTGTAATCCCAGCTACTCAGGAGGCTGAGGCAGGAGAATTGCCTGAACCCAGGAGGCGGAGGTTGCGGTGAGCCGAGATCGCGCCATTGCACTCCAGTCTGGGTAACAAGAGTGAAACTCCGTCTCAAAAAAAAAAAAAAAGTATACACATGAGGAAGAAAGAAATAAAACTATCTTTGTTTATAGGCAAGATGATTGTCTCATCAACAACAACAAAAAAATCAACAGAGAAACTCCTACAACTAATAAGAAATTATAGCAAGGCTGCAGGCTACTATGTGAGTAGATAAAAGCCAATCACATTCCCATATAAGTGCAATGAACGAATGTAATTTGAAACCAATACACAATATAATTTATATTAGCGCCCCCAAAAATAAGATATTTAGGTATAAATCTAACAAAATATGAAAAACTACCCAAAAAAAACTGTAGGAAAAGGAAAAAACCCTACAGAACTGATGAAAGAAATCAAAGAACAACTAAATAAATGAGGACAGATTCTATGTTTGCGGACAGAAATCAATATTGTGAAAATGTCGGTTCTTGCAACTTGATCTGTGGATTCAATGCAATCCCAATCAAAATAAACAGTGAGTTATTTTGTAGATATTGACAAACCGGTTCTAAAGTTTAAATGAAAGGCATAAGACATCCAATAGCCAACTCAACATTAAGAGAGAAGAACAAAGTTGGAGGACTCACACTACCCAATTTCAAGCCTTACTGTAAAGCTACAGTAATCAAGACAGTGTGTTATCAGGAAAGAACAAATACACAGATCAATGGAATGAAGAGAGAGCCCAGAAACAGACCCACATAAGTAGAGTCAACTTATCCTTGAAAAAAAAAAAAAAAAAAAAAGTAAAGGCAATACAATGCAGCAAAGAGAGTCTTTTCAACAAATGATGCTGGAACAAATATGCCAAAAACAATAAACTGGATAGAGACCTTCTATCCCTCACAAAAACTAACTCAAAATGAATCACAGACCTAAATGTATAAACGCCAAACTATAAGATAACATAGGATAACATGAACAAGAAGCCAATACCAGCCAGCAGCTGCAGAAGAAACACCCCCACTGACTGAGCCCTTACTGTTGACCAGGCTTTGTGCTTTACTTCAGTCACTTCCATTAGCCCCCCCTTATTATCACACACACCCCTTAATAGATGAGAAATTAGGTATAAGAAGTATAAAAAGAATAAATATCTTGCCAAAGTCACCAGCTTGCTCTTTATCCCCTTGCTATATTATCTCTGCATGCTGAATTCCAGAGATTTGACTAAAATCTTTATTCACATAAATATATCCAGGTCTGGCACTGAAATAGCTGAAATCTGATGCAGACTGAAAAACCTTAACTGTTAATGACCTGTTACATCAACAAAGATATACATCGGGTGTCTACTATTTACAAGACAGAATTTGTTTTTAAGCAACAACTTAGTGAGCTCTCACTCAGGTTTGGAATTCAAAGTTGCAAGCACTTGACATTTTTTCACATCATTTAATCCTCACAACAACCTGCCAGGTTAAGTGCTCTTATCCTCATCCTACAGATGAGAAATGAGACTCGGCGAGAGGAAGAACACTGTTCTTAAGTGGAAGAACTTGAATTCGAATAAACAGAACTCTAGAATCCATGCAGTGAGTTATCACCTTCACTCCCACTCGAAGACATCCACCGCCTCCACTATGGCCACACGTATCATTAACACAAAGCCTTCAGACTTAGGAGCTGGCTGGGCATGGTAATTCACAACTGTAATTCCAGCACCATAGGAGACCAAGGTGGGAGGATCACTTGAGACCAGGAGTTCAAGACTAGGCTGGGCAACATAACAAGACCCTAGCTCTATGAAAAAATTAAAGAAAATTAAATTAAATTTAAAAACTGATGAGCATTCTTGTGTGTAGTATCTGATCTTCACAGCAACCCTGTAAAGTAGGTGAGACAGAGATCATGGGGATTTTATAAATGAGGAAACTGAGGCACTGATGCAAGGGAAATATACATTGTGGGCATACCCTGAATGCCCCACCCACCAGGTGAGACCATCAGAAATTCTAAAGACAGAAAAAGAAACACACATCAAAGGCTGTTTAAGTAAACCTTAAAATTGAAAAAACTGCTGCTTTTTCATTTAACAAACACTTTTTTATTCTCTGTTATTATACTTACCAGGGTTCTAGGACTGAATGAGAAATACAGGTTTTCTATTGGTCATATTCACAGCCAACATTTCCTCTGTGCCAGGTCAGAAAGACAGTGGTCACCTTCATGAATAACTTCCTCGGGCAAAGCTGCTCTCAGCCTTGACTAAAGTTGCCTGTCCAGGGGCTGGTCCACACTCATGATCTCTCTTCTCTGGCACAGAGAAAGTGAATGGTCAGACCCATCTCTTGAATGGTGAGTCATGTGCTTTAATAACGTTTCTTGTTCACCAGATACACTTTATTAAAAAGTGAAGTGACAGTCAGAAAGGTGAAGTGGCTTAGCCAAGGTCACACAACTTGGAAGCAGCAGATCAGAAAGAAAAATCCAGGTCTCCTGCTAGGTAGGCTAGTCTTCCATCCAAGGGCATACTAGACCCAGGTCAACTCAGCCATGTGGGGCTGCCAGATGTTTCTGCATGTGGATAAGGGCTAAGGGCTACGAGGGAACTGAATAAGCTAGAAACTCCCAGAACTTTGGTCCTAGAAGGGCCCTTAAGAATTATCCAGAGCCGGGCGCAGTGGCTCAAGCCTATAATTCCAGCACTTTGGGAGACTGAGGTGGGCAGATCACCTGAGGCCAGGAGTTCAAGACCAGCCTGGCCAACATGGTAAAACCCCTTCTCTACTAAAAATACAAAAAAATTAGCAGACTTGGTAGCATGCACCTGTAGTCCCAGTCACTTGGGAGGCTGAGGCAAGAGAATCACTTGAACCCGGGCAGCAGAGGTTGCAGTGAGCCAAGATGGCACCACTGCACTCCAGCCTGGGTGACAGTGTGAGACTCTGCCTCAATGTAAAAAAAGAATCATCCAATCCATCCATTATATAGGTAGGTAAACTGAGGACCAGCCAAAAAAAGCAATTTGCCAAAAATTACACAGCTTGAAGTGGGCAGATCAGGTCCAGAGCCCAGGTCCATAGCAATCTTATCGTTCAAGTGAGCTTGGACAGCAATTTGCATTAGCTGCTGTGAGGATGTCAAAGCAATCAATCCACAGGACTGTTTTGTTTTTTTCCCTAGCAAGTCCAGGTCATAAACAAAAAGTACAACGTGTAGCCTCTGTCCTTGAGGAGTTTACAGTCCAGCTAGAAAAACTGGCATGTACACAGGAAAACAGAATCAATACCATAAAACATCAGAACAGGCAGCAGCTGTATCAAGAATTTAAAGGAGGCAGACAGCAGCAGGGCTGGCTGTGTAGGAAGGCTCCCTAAAGAAGGGCTACAGAAAGCTGGACTTTGAAGCACGACTAGGAGTCCAACAAATAGAAAGGAATAGGTATGTCAGTCTAGGAAAGAGCTTCAACTCATAAAGGGGTTTTGTGGGAGATGAGGCAAAATCGCACACGAAGGCAAGGTCTTAGCGGCTGGGGATCCTTCAGATGCCAGGTCAGGGCATTTGGACTTGGGTCTGTGAAACAATAGGTCTTCAGACTTGTTCAGGAGCAGATCACTTGGAAGCCTCTGAGCTCTTCACAGAATTCCACAAGTGACTGATCCCACTTCATTCCAGGACAACATTCGTGTCGGGAAACAGAACTGTTCTTCTACATCTGTAACATAAAACCACAACCACAAGCGTGCGTACCTGTGAACAAAGTAAGTTCTCAAGTGAAACAGGATCAATCTTTCCCAAATACTCCTGTCAAGAGTTATCTGTCCTTGACCTCTGTCTTCCGTCTCTGTCTTCTGTAGCTTGTGTACTGATAGACAACATGTACCTGTTCCACTGTTTTTCACAAAATATGGGAGAGAAAAACTTAAAAAATGGAGAGAATTCTGAAAACTTACTTTTTTTTCTTCATATTGGAAAGAGGCAGTCTGATCATTTTAAGGATTCAAGGCAATGCCACATAGAGTAGTATCCTCACTGAGCATCAGTTTCCCCATCTGGCATGGAGGGGTTGGAGATGGAAACATTATCTGAGGCCAAGTTTTGGACACATGATTCACCCAGTCTGGTCATCTTCACATCTCCTGGGCTCTCTGGACAATGAAAGGGATGGGGGACCAGTCCTTCCATACATGTCCACAGTTCTAAGCAGCAGAGACAGTAGCTTTGGTGGGACTAGCTCTGTAGCTGTCAGCTTCTGCAAAGGCCAGGGGTCAGCATGAGATGTCAAAAAAGGATTTCTGTGCTGGGTCCCGGAATGAGCACAACACCCCAGTTGCTGACAGGTCAGACCCATTTTGGAGTGCCCCCAGATACTTCTCTCCTCACCTGGGACTCCCCATTGCCCATCTCGGGCTCCTGAAGCTTTCCCGACTGCTCAGTCTTGGAGGAAGATGAGTACCTTCATTCCTAGGTCACCTGGCCAGGAACGGGCAGCACCCTGTGCCCAGGATGTAGGCTTCTATGAGCTGGCAGGGGCATGGAATTCTTGGAGAGTTCGTGTGTCGTGTCCCCATTGCCTGAGGGAGCTGGGAGGTCACTAGAAGCCGGATATAGTAGCCACCAAACACTGCCAGCAGCTGGCGGGCCATTTCCTAGAAAAGGCAGGGAAGCAGATTGAATACCCCAGGGGAAGCCCTTGAGGGAAAAGGGCTTAGGCACTGGGGAAAAGCCACACTGCCTTCTTGCCCCTGGAATGAGGAGTGATGTTCACTAGGAAGAACCAGGCCAGGCCAGCACCTGGGGCTCTCAGAAGACGCCAGCCTGGTCTAGACGTCCAGTTCTGCAACCCACGGGCTGTGGGGCTCCTGCAGCCTCAGTGCCCTCACTGCCAAGGTGGGTAACTAACTGCTGAATGGCAATAACAATACTCACAAAAAAGATATGCAAGCTCAAAGCGCTAGAGAAATTACCTAATTCTAATTACCTAAGTTTTTAAGCCGAGCTGGCCAGGCATGGTGGTTCACACCTGTAATCCCAGCACTTTGGGAGGCTGAGGCAGGAAGGTCACCTGAGGTCAGGAGTGTAAGAGCAGCCTGGGCAACAGAGAGAGACTCTGTCTCTACAAAAATAAAATTCAAATTAAAAATATATTTTAAAAACATAAAAAGAAAGTCAACCTAGCCAGCCACAAATACATTCTTTTTTCTACTTTCAAATGTCTATGAGTCTGTGTTCCAAGTGACTCACCTGAAGAAAATTACTAAATAATGGAGGTGGGGAGAGAAATAGACCATGATTACAGAATCCTTTAATTCATACAAGGTACCTGGTAGATTTCTTAACACAAGTACTCCTAACACATTAAAAGAGACTGCTTATATTTAAATATGATCACTGACAGTAAAATTTAAAAAAAAAAAAAGAAAGAAAAACATAAAAAAGGGAAAAAAGAGATTGCTTATAAAATTTAGTTTTATCACAAAACGACAAATACTGTATGATGCCACTAATACAAGGCACCTAGAGTAATCAACTCACAGGGAGAGAAGGTAAAACTGTGGTTTCTAGGGGTTGAGGGGAGGGAGAAAGGAAGGAAGGGGAAGTTAGTGTTTAATGGGCACAGAGTTTGATTTGGGAAGATGAAAATATTCTGCAGATGGATGGTGGTGACAGTTGTGTAACAGCAAGAATGTACCCAATGTTGCTGAACCATATACTTAAAATGGTTACGATGGTAAATTTTATATTATGCATATTTGCCACACAAAAAAATTTAAGTGAAGAAAAAAAGGATTAAAAAATTTAATTGAAAAAAATATACTTCTTTTTTCTTTTTTAAAGACACGTATCTTAAGCCAGGTACAGTGGCTCACGCCTGAAATCCCAGCACTTTGGGAGGCCGAGGCGGGCAGATCGCCTGAGCTCAGAGTTCAAGACCAGCCCGGCCAACATGGTGAAACCCCGTCTCCACTAAAAATACAAAAAAATTAGCCGGGCATGCTGACAGTTGCCTGTAATCCCAGCTACTCGGGAGGCTCAGACAGGAGAATCACTCGAACCCGAAGGCAGAGGTTGCCGTGAGCTGAGATCGTGCCATTGCACTCCAGCCTGGGCAAAAGGAGGGAAACTCTGTTTCAAAAACAAAAAAGGACACGGGATCTTACTATGTCCTTACTATGTTCCCCAGGCTGGTCTTGAACTCCTAGGCTCCTGCCTTGGCCTCCTACAGTGCTGGGATTACAGCTGTGAGCCACTGCACTAGGCCTTAATGCACATTCTTATTAACACATTTAAAGAGCCGTAAAGATCCATTGACCAGTCTAGAAGATGGGATCTCAGGGGAAATGCTTAAATTCCGTAAGCATGGTGTTGAAGGTCTCTCACATGACTTGCGTCCACTCTGAATGTAATGAAATAAGGTGTGGGTTACATCAATGCTAGTTATGTCTATAAAGTTAGTAATTAGGGACAGGCTTTAAAGTCAAAAAGGCCGAGAGGGAATTTCAGCTCAGTCACTCTGTGATTAACCCAGAGCAGTCGCTTCACGTCGTTGAGCTCGTTTCTTCATTGGGAGAATGGGGAAAATAGTGGCACTGACCCCATGAAGTCAGAGTGAGGATTAAAGAGCCTAACAGACAAACAGCATTGAGCCAGCGCCTGGTGCTCCACGCATGGCATCAATATCTTTCCAACATAAGATTAGCATTTGTTTCAAGTTATCCGTTGTGCTAGAAAATATAAAACACTTCAAATAGTTTACCACACCCTAACTCAGATTGGTCTTCTTGCCAGTTTACTCTAAAATCAGTAACATAAGAAGCAAAGAGCAGTAGCAAGAACATTGGCCTACTTAGCATCAGCAGGGCTGGCTTCGGCCCTTGGCTTACTACCCTCTCCCTTTCTGGCGGCCTTGGGAAAGTCAACTGACCTCTTGGAACCGTATTTCACCCATCAAGGAAGAAAGAAAAATAATTCATACCTTGAAGAGAATGCTAATGAATTTTATGCACGAGAAAAATCTGTTAAAATGTAAGAGGTCGGCCGGGCGCGGTGGCTCACGCCTGTAATCCCAGCACTTTGGGAGGCCGAGGCAAGTGGATCACGAGGTCGAGAGATCGAGACCATCCTGGTCAACATGGTGAAACCCCGTCTCTACTAAAAATACAAAAAATTAGCTGGGCATGGTGGTGCGTGCCTGTAATCCCAGCTACTCAGGAGGCTGAGGCAGGAGAATTGCCTGAACCCAAGAGGCGGAGGTTGCGGTGAGCCGAGGTCGCGCCATTGCACTCCAGCCTGGGTAACAAGAGCAAGACTCCGTCTCAAAAAAAAAAAAAAAAAAAAAAAAAAATGTAAGAGGTCATTATCACTATCTTTCCATCTTTTACAGACACTGGGTTCCTACTGAAATATGATCATCTAGCCCAGGCTGAGACTTGGGCATCAATTATATTTTCCCTAACTAAATTATAAAGGCAGCGACTTTAAAAACATGTGCACACACACTTGATATTCATGACAAGAAATTGTATTACTATTGGTTTGAATAAATTTGAAAAAAAATCATTTAAAAGACCCATATTTAATGGGTTATTGCACAAAAATCCACACATGCATGTTGCAAGAAAGTACATAACCTTATCAATCTTTTCTCTTTAAAAAAAAAAAAAAGCCAATAGGATAAAGTGAAGAGATTAATACATTTATCATTTTCTCTTTTATTGTTTTTTTTTTTAATATTTTGGCAGGGCACAGTGACTCACACCTGTGATCCTAGCACTTCAGGAGGCTGAACTTGAGCTTAGGAGTTCAAGACAAACATTGGCAACATGGTGAAACCCTGTCTAAATAAAATTTAAAAATTAACATAAAAAGATAATTTTTTTTTGAGACAGAGTCTTGCTCTGTTGAAACACTGCACTGGCCTATCACTTTCTCTAAATAGTACTACTCGTAGGATTTCTACTCCCCCCAGTACAAAAGAGAAAGCCTAGGCTGGTTTGGACCTTGAATCCCCAAACCTCTTGGCTGAAAAGATGTAGGTGCTCTTCTGAAGTCTCAAAGGTCACCTGAGGTCACCATCACTGCTTGTCTCCCTGACAGTGGGTCTGTCCCTGTGAGAAGGAGGTAGCACAAGCTGCAAACCACATTTTCAGATTTCTGGTCTACCCGTGCTTAGCCATAGCCAAGAGGCAGTATGGATGGCAGGACCCAACAGAACTCTGGGGCTGACAGAATTGGAATTCAACAGAAATGCAAAGAAGTAGGAGGTCGAGGTGGGTAGATCTCTTGAACCCAGGAGCTGGAGACCAGCCTGGGCAACATGGCAAAACCCTACCTCTAATAAAAATACAAAAAAATTAGCCAGGCATGGTGGCCCATGCACATAGTCCCAACTACTCAGGAGGCCAAGGTGAGAGGATTGCTTAAGCCTGGGAAGTTGAGGCCACAGTGAGCAGTGATCATACCACTGCACCCCAGCCTAGGTGACAGGAGTAAGACCATGTCTCAAAAAAAAAAAAAAAAAAAAAAAATGCAAAGAGGAATCAACTAACTAACTGCAATTAAAGTAGATGGATGAACGGTTGGATAGATGAATAAAAATTTATTAATTAAGACCCAAATATTTGTCAATATGTTCATGGTGAAGTAAGCTATAATCTATCAACATGCAACTACCCATCCAATGCAACCATCAAAAAGAATATCCAAGATAGTAAATAATGCAACAAAAAGTCCCAATAAATAAAAAATGCTTCCTCTTAACTATTTTTTTTAAGCGCTAGGGTGAAGAATAAAAAGACTGAGAACTCCTGAGCTAGATTTGTATGGTGTCTTCCAACTGAGAGAAGCCATGTCCCTGGGAATCTAGGAAGCCCCCACATAGACTTTCTCTACACAAACTCCCCCAAGGGAGGATGGCCGTGACTAGCCCTAGTGCCCGTTACCTCTGGCTCAGCCTCGGGAACGAGCTGGTGAAGCTCAGTCTGCATGAGTGGCCTCTCCATAGGACGAGAACTGTCGGGCAAGAGAGGAGCATCCTCCAAGTTCTCAGGCCCCTCCGCTGTTGCAGGGCTCACCCCAGTCTCCATGACAACACACAACTGGCTCAATCTGCTTCTCAGCAAGGACTGCAAAGGAAACAGAGATGGGGCTCAGGAGTGCTTAAACTGGGTGGTGTCTGCGGGACAGTCCCTCCACGAGCTGCAGACCCAGCAGAGGATGAGGTCTCAGACTCAGATGATGACCTCAGAAAAAGCTGGTCACATTGGTGGTATTATGTAATTCCCTACAGATGGTCATTATTAGCTTCTAAATATTTTTCCTTTTTTGGCCAAGCAGGGTGGCTCGAGCCTGTAATCCCAGCACTCTTGGAGACTGAGGCAGGTGGATCACTTGAAGCTAGGAGTTCAAAACCAGCCTGGCCAAAGTGGTGAAACCCTGTCTCTACTAAAAATACAAAAATTAGCCGGGCATGGTGGCGTGTGCCTGTAGTCCCAGCTACTCGGGAGGCTGAGGCAGGAGAATCACTTGAACCTGCGAGGCAGGGGTTGCCGTGAGCCAAGATGGCGCCACTGCACTCCATCCTGGGTGACAGAGCCAGACTCTGCCTCAAAACAAACAAACAAATATTTTTCCTTTCGTGTTCTCACTTGCTCAAAGTAGCCTGGGATGTGGGTATCTTTATCCAGATGTTGCAAATGAATAAACTGAGACTCAAAGGCCTTGCTCGAGGCCACACAGGAACTAATGAGCCAGATTCAGGGCTAAGTCACAACCCTGACTTCAAGATCCACTGCAGCCAGAACTCAGAAAAGGCTGATCCTAGAGAAGGAGCCCAGGGCTCAGAGACAGGAGGCCTGGCCTCCAAACCTGGGCATCACCAGCCAGCTCCATGACCACAGGCAGGTAACAGGTCATGCCAGAGCCTGTTTCCTCCTCTGGAGAAGCAGAGCGAGATCCCTCTGATGTTCTTAATAAATGATAGAAAGGCACTGTGAACAAGTAAAAGTTGCCTCAATACATGAAACTTCGAGATCCACCAAAATTTATTATTAATAGTATTATTGTAAAGAAATACGTTCACCACAGGAAATATGGAAGAAACAATGAGTTAAAAAGAGTCAGAAGGCTGGGTGCAGTGGCTCACACCTGTAATCCCAGCACTTTGGGAGGCTAAGCGGGGAGGATCACCTGAGGTCGGGAGTTCGAGACTAGCCTGGCCAACATGGTGAAATCCCGTCTCTACAAAAATACAAAAATTAGCCTGGCATCATGGTGGGCACCTATAATCCCAGCTGCTCAGGAAGCTGAGGGAGAACTGCTTGAACTCGGGAGGCAGAGGCTGCAGTGAGCTGAGATCGTGCCACTGCACTCCAGCCCGGGTGAAAGAGGGAGACCCTTTCTAAAAAAAAAAAAAAAAAAAAGCAGAAAAGTAGTCATAATTCCCAAGGCAAAAACAACCCCTGATTGATTGTTCACAGGTATTCTTCCAAGTAACATTTTCTTAGACATTTTCCTACCTTTAAGAGAATGGAATCGATACAACTTGGCCTTCTGGGTTTGGGTTTGTTTGGTTTTTTCACTGAAGATATCTTACCTCTTGGCTAGTCTTCATTTCTTGAACATGATCAGACAAAAACTGCACACAGTTCTCCAGGTCGAAGTAGACAAACCAAAGCTGTGGGGAGAAGAAGCTGTGAATGCTGTGGCTCAAAGCCAGCCTAACCTGGAACGCTCCCTCCCTGGACAGTCCTATTTAGCTGGCTGTCTAGCAGGAACGTGCCATTTGGCTCCCTCCCAGAGTCTCACACCATGACCATGTCTCATTTGTATGGCTGGTAGAAAAATGGCTTTGGGCACAAATTTAGAAAAGATCAAACCCCAGGCCAGAAGTGGTGGCTCACACTTGTAACCCCAGCACTTTGGGTTTCACTTGAGGCCAGGAGTTCAAGACTGGCCAACATGGTGAAACCCCTGTCTCTACAAAAACATACAAAAAATTAGCTGGGTATGGTAGTGGGTGCCTGTAATTCCTGTTACTCAGGAGCCTGAGGCACAAGAATCACTTGAATCTAGGAGGTGGAGGTTGCAGTAAGCCAATATCAAGTCACTGCACTCCAGCCTGGGTGACAGAGCAAGACTCTGTCTCAAAAAAGAAAAAAGAAAAAGTCCCACTCTGTTCAAAATGGCTGTGGTCCATTTCCCACAAGCCACTGAGCATCCCAGACAGACTCCGAACCCTCTTGGACATCACCTGTTCTACCTGAGGCCACCTTCATCCTCAATGGGCGGGGCATGAACATGCAAATGAGTAAAAGCCTTCAAAGCTGACACCTGCGGCCCACAACCAGGTCTGAGGTAATCAACCTGGGTGCTTGTGGGGAGGGAAGCAGGACGAGAAGTCTACACCCCACCTGCACCCCCCTTCCACCTCAGGGGCCAGCCAGGCTAAAGGCTGAATTCCTCCACATTCACCTTACCACATCCTGTCAAGACCACACCTGCCACACATCCTAATTGAAGTTCTTCGAGAAACTGGTGGCCCCTGCCCCAAACTCCCATCCACTGGCCACCTCCTCTGAATCCCAGACCTCCCTCCTCCCATGGACTGACCCACAGAAACCCAAAGTCATAGCCTTCTTGCCAACTAGTATCCCAACGTCTTACCCACAAAAGAGTATTTTTCAAATGATTCCTTTAAAGCTTCTTACTGTGAAAATTTCCAATCATGTACAAAAGTAGATGACAGCAACCCATCATCCTCCTGCCACTGTTAGGTCACCTCATAGCCACTCATGGTTCATCTCCATCCTCACTTGGTACCTGTACCCAACACCCCCACCTCCACTACACCCACCAGTGAAGCTGAAGGACATCCCAGATAGTGTATCACATCATTCCAAGATACTATTTTGAAACTGAAAGAACCCAGCTGTCTAAAAAGATGTGTCCTTTATTTTTTCTTTTTCTTTTTTTTTGAGACAGGGTCTCACTCTGGCACCCAGGCTAGAATGCAGTGGTGCAATCACAGCTCACTGCAGCCTTGACCTCCTGGACTCAGGTGATCCTCCCACCTCAGCCTCCCAAGTAGCTGGGACTACAGGCACGTGACACTATGCCCAGCCAGGTTTTGTACTCTTTGTAGAGACAGAGTTTTCCATGTTGCTCAGGCTGGTCTTGAACTCTTAGATTCAAGCAATCCACATGCCTCAGCCTCCCAAAGTGCTAGAATTACAGGCATGAGCCACCACGCCCAGCTGATGTGTCCGTTCTTTGGTCACCTATCCATCCATGCATTTAGCTAACTAACACACGCCAAGTCACTACTATGTGCCAATGGATAAAGGAGATTTGGAGGTAAATGAGGCTAAGAAGGACCTCCAAATTCCAGGAGTTCCCAGTCTACAATGTCACAGTTGAACTGCCAGGAATCTTGTGATGCCATCTGCTTCACCCCAATGTTAGGTAAGATCATCTTATACCTACACCATCTTGAGTGTGACAGGCTCCACAAACACAGGGACCTGTACATGTTCTCTGCTGCAGCTTCAATCCCTGGGACAGTGTCTGGTACATAATAGGCTCTCAATAAGCATTTGTGGGGTAACTGAGGCAGGTGCATGAGGAGCCTCTTCCCAAGTCCCCCATGCACACCTACCCCTTGGGCTCCCACCGGGCGAGGGGCATGACTGGTGAGAATGCAGATGTGGTGCTGAGGAGGTCTTGCAATTCCACCAGGCAGATCAGGCATGGATGGAGGAACAGGCAGAGTTCAGCCAGGATCAGCAGATCTGGCCTGTGTTCCGACCCACCCTGCGACTCCATACTAGTCACTTTCAGATCTCCCCACAACCTTCGGGGCAAAGAGAACGACCAAACCAGGCAGACAAGGCCTTCAGCGTCTGATCTGCCTCTCTGGCCTCATCTCTCCCCGTTGTGTCACTCTGACATAGCCCCAGCCATGGTGAGCTCCATGCAGCCCTTCAAAGGGACCCTGTGTACTTTGCCTCTCAGCCTTGTCAGGGGCTGTCCCTTTGCTATAAGGCTGGAGAGGCTACTATTGACTATCTCACTGTGTGCCTGTCATCCTCTGGCAGGACAGGGACCTTGCATGGGCCCCTCAGTGTCGTCAGTGTCGAACCGAGGGCACAGCGCAGAGGAGGCTCCATCTGTCTGCTGAGTAAATGCCAGGTGGCCAGCAAGGTTTGGATATTATCTGCGCTTCCCTTTCAGCCCTGCCACGTGGAGGTTCCAGGCCACTGGTTACTGCACAGAGAAGGTGTCTCGAGGAAGAAACACCGGGGCAGGGAGGAAGGAAAGGGCTGCCAATAGCCATTTATTCATTAGCAGACTAGTGCAGACACTGTGCAGGTTGACAGAACATAAGGCCACTGCTCTCCATGTAGCCCAACATAAAACTGGGTCATGAGGAAGAGCTCACTATGAGACACAGTACCTGAATCACACTCTGGCATCCTTCCACTGTGTCTGTCACCCCCAGCAGCACCCTGTGTCTCAGGAGGGCTCCATTGGCAGCTGCCAGCCTCAGGTCTGTGTTGGTGTTGGCCTGTAAGACAAATGCCAGGCCCATGACCGGACCTCCATACTACTGGGGAGCTCCTGGGCTCTAAGCAGTAGAAACATACTGTCCAATGCCAAGGGACAATCCCCACCCTCAGGCTTCTTCCATTTCCCCCCTATTAAATGGGTTGGGATGGAGGCAGGCACAGTGACTCATGCCTGTAATCCCAGTGCTTTGGGAAACTAAGGCAGGAGAATTTCTTGAGGCCAGAGGTTTGAGCCCAGCCTGGACAATGTAGTGAGATGTCATCTCTATAAAAAATGGTTTAAAAATTAGCTAGGTGTGGGAGCGTGCACTGTAACCCCAACTACTTGGGAGAGTGAGGCAAGAGGATCACTTGAGCCCAGGAGTGTGAGGTTATAGTAAGCTATGATTGTACCACTGCACTCCAGCCTAGGTGACAGAGTGAGACTCTATCTCTTAAAAAGAAGGAAAGCAGGCCGGGTGCAGTGGCTCACGCCTGTAATCCCAACACTTTGGGAGGCTGAGGCAGGCAGATCACAAGGACAGGAGATCGAGACCATCCTGGATAAGATGGTTAAACCCTGACTCTACTAAAAATACAAAAGTTAGCTGGGTGTGGTGGCGCATGCCTGTAGTCCCAGCTACTTGGAAGGCTCAGGAAGGAGAATCACTTGAACCGGAGAGGTGAAGGTTGCAGTGAGCCGAGATCACGCCACTGCACTCCATCCTGGCGACAGAGCAAAACTCAGTCTCAAAAAAAAAAAAAAAAAAGAAGTAAAGAAAAATAAAATGAGATGGGGACTATTGGAACAGTAAACTCAATAGTGTCAGAAGGCCCTGGGATAAAGCCCAGCTCTGCTGCTTCCTGGCTATATGGCCCTGGACAAGGTATGTCCCTTCCCTGAAACTTATTTTCTTCAGTTGTAGAATAAAAGAATGTCTCTGTCTCCTAGGAATGGAGTGAGATTTCGCTGAGATTGTGTGTGATGCACTTAACCCAGGGCCTGGGACTATGGTCAAGGTGCATAAGATATTTGCGGAAGAGGGAAGATCAAATGGGTTCGATCTGTCTGAGCTGACACATCAAATCTGTTGTGTAAGTGAAGCACTCGCTCCATCTAGAAAGCACCTACTTTAAAGTACCTAACACAGCACTGGCCCTCAGGAGGGGCTCTGGGAATCAGTATTCTGCTCCCCCACCCAAACCAATGGACGCCACACATTCAGCTGGGAAAGTGAATACTAAACAGGTGGGGGAGAAGAGGAGGAACAAGGGGACCCCAAATGCTGGTTTGAGAAAGTGAGCACAAGACTTTCAGACGCAGTTAGAAGAGAGCAGCCCAACCAAGGATAATAGTTCCCAAAAGGGGCAGCACCCCAAAGAGGTATTTTGGAAAGGCAAGAAGGACCCGTTGGTTGTCACAGGGATGGGATGGACAGTGCAGGCACTTAGTGGAAGAGGGCGGGGGGCTCCAAACCATGCCTTCCACTGAAAGACATGTCCTATTAGAAAGCATTCTGCATGTTGAAGACTGTCCCTGGGCTGCCTGGACTCCAAATGCCCCACTGAGCATATATGCAGGTAAAAAAAATCTACTTAGAATTCTCTGGTCAGCCAACCTAACTCCAGTTTACATTTATACCTAAAGTGATTTTTTTTTTTTTAAGACCTCGTCTCACTCCGTCACGGAGGTTGTAGTGCACTGGTACGATCACGGCTCACTGCAGCCTTGACCTCCTGGGCTCAGGAGATCTTCCTGAGGCCTTCCTCAGCCTCCCAAGCAGCTGGGACCACATATGCATTCCATCACACCGGGCTAACTTTTAAATATTTTGTAGAGATGGGGTCTCACTGTGTTGCCCAGGCTGGTCACCAACTCCTGGGTTCAGGCAATTCTCCCACCTCAGCCTCCCAAAGTGCTGGGATTACAGGCATGAACCACCAAGCCCAGCCACTTAAAGTGATTGTTTGCATGAGTTTAACATACACTGAGTTTTCCAGGAATGCTTCTACTATGAAAATCAAGGAATAATTATATTTTGTTTTGCCTCGAACTGTAGTAAGGGCTGTTCTTCCTTCTAGAAATCCATATCCCAACAGCTCAATTCCTAAGTCTATCTCTCACTGCCCATGTAACCTTGGGCAAATTACTAATCATCACTCTGCCTCCATCTATCTCCTCACCCCCAAATGGAGATAATAAAGCCCCACCTCAGAGGGATATAATAAGGATGAAATGAGTTAATCCACGTAGAATAATTGAAAGAATTGAACACTTAACACATGTCAGCTGATAATATCACGGTGAGGATGACAGTGAATTGGAAGCACCATGTTTCACTGTGCCATATTAGCCACAAATATTTGTAGGAACTTGGAACTTCTCACGTACCCTAGCAATGTGCTATACTCTACAAGGCAGGGACTTGCCTGCCTTTACAAACCTTCCAATATATATTTTTTTAAGGCAGGGTCTCACTCTGTCACCCAGGCTGGAGTACAGTGGTGCCATCACAACTCACTGCAGCCTTGAACTCCTAGGCTCAAGCAATCCTCCCACCTCAGCCTCCTAGGACTATGGGCATGTGCCACTGCATCCTGCTTTTATTTTTTTGTAGAGACAGGGTCTCACTATGTTGCCCAGCCTGGTCTCAAACTCCTGGGCTCAAGTGATCCTCCCACCTCAGCCTCCCAAATTCCTGGGATTGTAAATGTGAGCCACCCTGCCCGACCCAAACCTTTCAGTCCTGAGAAAGTGCACCAAAGGGAAAACAAGACGGTTATGCAGGACATTGAGGCTCCTAAGGACACCAAGTGACACAGAGTGGATGCTAACAGTCAAAAGTGACAATGGTCAGGAAGAGGGGATCTACACAGTCCTGAGTGACAAGGGATCCAGGGAGCAGGCGGTCCTGGAGCTGAGACCCAAACGAAGACCTGAGAAGGGCTGTGTGGCCATAGACTGGTTACTTAACCTTTCTGAACCTCCACTTCCTCACTGGCAAACAGAGTCGATAACAGTTAATACTTACAAAGCATTTACTTTATACTAGGTACTATTATAAACACTTTGTGTGTCTAAGTCATTTCATTCTCACAACAACCCTATGAGGGAGCTACAGCTATTATCTCAATTTTAGATGAGGAAACTGAAGCCCTGATAGGTTAAGTAACTTACCCCAAGTTGCAGAGCTAGTAAATGGTGGAGGTATCCTGCCTCCGTATAGGGCTGTTGTTGGGTACAGACATGAAGCCCCAAGCTTACAGCGCACAATAGGTGCTCATTAAGTGATGGACATTACTAGGAAGGAAAAAAGGAGTCTCCTAAATGAGCAGACAGTGATGATGGCATTGCCAGGATGCACCTGTGGCCTCCATGCTGTACCATGCTCTTGCTCATTTTCTAGGATCTGTGCCTGGCACAGAGTAAGACTCTGTATTCATAGATAGATAGATAGATAGATAGATGCATACATAGATGAATGGGTGGATGGACGGATAGATAGATAGATAGATAGATGCATACATAGATGAATGGGTGGATGGATGGATAGATAGATAGATGCATGGATGGACGGACAGACAGATAGATACATACATATATAGACGGATAGATAGATAGATAAATAGATAGATAGATAGATACATACATACATACATACATATAGATAGATAGATATTGTTGGAACAATAAATTCAATAATGTCACTCCTGGGCCAAAGACTAGCTCTGGTGTCTCCTGGCTGTGTGGCCCTGGACAAGGCATATCCTGGTACTCTCAAGGGCTTCATAAATACCAGCTGAATAAAAGGAGGAAAGAAGAGACAGAGACAGAGAGCCAAAGCAGGCCCTCCCTTTACCGTATGAATTATATCCACATCCTCGAAGCACCTGTCAGGTGCCAATTTTTTTGCTTGCTCCTGCTGAAACAAAACACTTTGCTTCATCCCCTTCCCAAGAGAAAGTTCTTGCTGCAGGAGTGGCCAGCCCAATTTATTTTTCATAGACCAAACACAAGGGCCATGAAAGCTTCAACAGGCCCCAAGAGCAGAATTATTTTGTCAGTCCCGTGGCAAAGCCCAACAAAGATCCTTTCAGAATGAGTATACCATAAAGTTCCCATTTGTCTCCATGAACACAGGCGCTAAGTAGAACTCATGCCCCAAATGCTGATTTACATTTCCCAACATCCTGCCCTCCCCGCTGAGTCACGCAAGAGCGGAGTGTTTGCTCAGGATCTCAGAGGCCAGCACTGCGCCAGCGATCAGGGGATCCGGAACAGGAGCTTCCCAAGTAGGTGGAAAGACAGCATAGGTGTGGTAGCAGAAAAATGGTCCCCGAAGATGTCTAAGTCCTATTCCCCAGAACCCAAGCGTATGTTGCTACATGGCAAAGGAAAATTAAAGCTGTCAATGAAATCAATGTTGTTACTCAGTTGCCCTTAAAAATAGGAGATGATCTCAGATTATCCGGTTGGCCCAATGTAACCACAGGGGTCCTTAAAAGTAGAAGAGGGGCCAGGTACAGTGGCTCACACCTGTAATCCCAGCACTTTCAGAGGCCAAGGCAGGCGGATCATGAGGTCAGGAGATCGAGACCATCCTGGCTAACACAGTGAAACCCCGTCTCTACTAAAATTATAAAAATCAGCCAGGTGTAGAGGTGCATGCCTGTAGTCCCAGCTACTTGGGAGGCTGAGGCAGGAGAATCGCTTGAACCCAGGAGGTGGAGGTTGCAGTGAGCCGAAATCGCGCCACCGCACTCCATCCTGGCTGACTGAGCGAGACTCCACCTAAAAAAAAAAAAAAGTAGAAGAGGAAACCAAAAGAGTCAGAGAAGGAGATGTGAATAAGACTGGGTCCGCCATTGCTGGCTCTGAAGATAGAGAAAGGGGCCACAAGCCAAGGAATGCAGAGGACCACCAGAAGCTACAAAGGCAAGAAAGCAGATTCTCCCCCAGAGGCCTCAGAAGGAAGCAGCCCTGCCTGCACTCGACTTTTAGCCCAGTGAGAACTATGTCACCTATCTAACCTACAGAACGGGAAGATAACAGTTTGGTATTGTTTTAAGCCACCAGGTTCATGGTAATTTATTACAGTAGCTATAGTAAACCAACAGTTTTCTTTTTTTTTCTTTTTTTTTTTTTTTTGAGACAGAGTCTCACTCTGTCACCCAGGCTGGAGTACAGTGGCTCGATCTCAGCTCACTGCAACCTCTGCCTCGTGGTTTCAAGTGATTCTCCTGCCTCAGCCTCCGGAGTAGCTGGGATTACAGACATGCACCACCACACCTGGCTCATCTTTTTTTTGTATTTTTAGTAGAGACGGGGTTTCACCATGTTGGTCAGACTGGTCTTGAACTCCTAACCTCAGGATCCATCTGCCTCAGCCTCCCAAAGTGCTGGGATCACAGGCATGAGCCACTGCACCCGGCCAAACCGACAATTTTCTAAAGGGTGCTGGCTAAGAACGTGGCTTGAATCTGAGGCCCTGGCCTTGATTTCCAACTCTGGCATTTATTCGTAGCATGGCTGGGGCTACTCTTTGAGCATTTCTGAGTCTAGTGTTCCTCGACTGCAAAATAAGCGTAAGAGCCTCTACCCAGATTTAATGTCAAGGGATTTAATGAGTTAATGTGTTAAACATTTAGCGGGGGACATATGATGTGCTCAATACATATCAAAAGGCAGACAATGAAGAGACGGAATACAATTAAAATCATACATAAGCCGGGAAGTATCTGCCTCCTTTCTGAACATGATCAGGAATCAGAGGGCTCAGGCTTTGAATCCTGGCTCTGTCACTAACATTGGGATTCAGGACAAGTAACCACTCACTCTGCCTCAAAGGTCACTGCTGGGATTAAAGACATGATTGTCAATAGAGCACGAGGCCAGCATCTGCCCATCACAGGAGGGAATAATGTAAATTGCTTCTTCCCAGACTTCAACTTCAGGCATGCTGTGCTGCAGCTGGGGTTCAGTAACCAATTCTCCCTTGCCCACAGGGTTGTCCTGAGCACCCAGGAAGAGGAAGTGCATGAAAGAGTTCAGTTAACTAAAGTACTGTCAGGATACGGGCTATTAGAGCCCTCCTCCCACATTCTCAAAACACAGCTTGCTTCCAGAAAAACAATCCACAGGGATCAGACAGGAAAAGCAGAGAGGATGTGATTTCTTTTAGTCACTGGGCTTACGGGCTAGTGTGAATTTTCATGGCTAGGGAAATTCTTTGAGGCAGGTAAAAGAGAAAAATCTGATTCTCATGCCTCCACCACCCTTCTGGAGGAAGCATGGCAGGGGTCTCCAGATGTCTCACCTTCTTCTGGTGTCTCTCAAAGACCAGCACAAGAGTCAAGGTCAGGCTCACTGCGGCCAGCGTCACGAGCAGCATGCCAGCCCAGTGGTTCCCCAAGGCAAACATTTGGCTGGTGGAGTAGATATTGGCCCACACCACCACGTAGAAAACCTGCAAGACGCCACAGAGAGAGCATGGTCAGGAACTCCAATCCTCACATAAAGCAGCTCCATTCAAAGGGACACCCTTCAGACACTGCTGATACCCTCCTTGAATTCAGACAGCTCACAGCACCAGTAAGAGATTGATGCAGATCCCTGGGTCTGTGAGAATGAGCTCAATTTCACTGGTTATAAGCAAAATTAGACAAGAAGGATTAGTAGCTACTCCTAATCCTTGTTTACCTTAATTTTAAATAAAACAGAAAAAGGCAGGTGGACTGAAGTGAGACAAATTTCTGTTCAAAGACCACAATGATCCTTCAAATACTATACGGCTTTGGACAATTTATAACTCCTCTCAGTCTCAGTTCTTCATCTGTATAATGGGGATAATAACACCTATTTCACAGCATTATAATAAGGGTTAACAAGGTAACATAAGTAACAGCCCAGCACTTGCCAGGGAATGAATCAATGCTGGTTCCTACCCCTTCCCTTCTCCCTGGAAGTGGGACATGGAGTCAGGTGTGCTATTTGGCCATTTACACATACAAAGCAGCAAATCATAGTGGTTCCAAGCACAGGTGCTGGAAACCAGACTACCTGGGTTCAAAACCTGCCTCTGTCATTTATGTATGTAAGTTTATATACAAATATGAAGAGGTATACGTATATTTATATATGTATATGTATGTGTATACACACATGTATATGCACACGTATATACGACTAGAGCTGAAATAGACCCATCTGTTGAGCAGATGGGGAAACCAAGTTCAGGAGAGGAGGAAAGTCTTGGCCAAGACCAGACATTGAGCCCAGGGCCTGGGTGGATCTGCAGACTCCCAATCCCAAGCTCTGTCCCACAGTAAACCCTGACCCTCATCCTTTATGCAAGGACCTGGTTACAACTCTCTCCCATAAATTTCCTCTGATCCCAAATCAATGTCCATATGTACTGTTCTTTTCCAGACACCTGGGCCACCAGCCGCCAAACTCCTGACCCATACCAACAGGCTGCAAGACACAATGCTGAACTTGGTAGTGCCACAAGGCGCCAGGGCAGGGGCAGGGCGCGGGCCACCTCCCCCTTACCACAGCAAAGGCCAGCCGCATAGGCCTTGAGTTGTAGATGATGTATCTTCTCACTTGGGGCTCCAAGAGGGCACTCTCTGCCAAGCTTCTGTACTGGTCAGCTGGGACCTGCTTGGAACCCAGGGAAAGAGATCAGTCAGCTACAGGAGAGCCAGTCCCCACTTCCTAGCTGATAGCAAGCATGCTGTTTCCAGTTCATGTGACTATCAAGTGGAAGGGGGATTAGGCACATTCTGGGCTGTCCCGAAAGGCAGAATGAGGAGCTTGGAGCACTGGGTGGAAGTCACACGGTGCAGCTCTCAGCTCAGGGAAGAACAACCATCACGACATCTGGAGAAGGATCCACACAGCCTCAGACTCAGTACCTCACAGCAGACACAGCATAGCCTGACAGTTAAGGCATAGGCCCTGGAGTCAGACAGCCCTGAGCCCAAACTCTGGACCTCACATTCATGTGCTGTGTGACCTGGAGCAAGTAACCCTACTCCTCTGAGCCTCAGCTTTCTCCTCTGTAAAATAAGGATAAAAGTACCCACCTTGTAGAACTAAGGTACATATTAAATGAGATAATACATGTACAGTGCTGGGCAAAGGGCCAGTCTCTTAGTGAACACTCAATATACAGATGCCATTATCAATACTGCAATATCAGTATCTATTAATGCAGTCCAAAAGACTGAACAATCACATCTTCCTGCCCAAACAAAAATGTCTATAGAATATAAAGGCCCTGTGAGAGTAGTCCTAAGAAAACAGAACTTAACCATTAAAAGTTATGTTTAGGCCAGGCGCAGTGTCTCACGCCTGTAATCCCAGCACTTTGGGAGGCCGAGGCAGGCAGATTGTTTGAGCCTAGGAGTTCAAGGCCAGCCTGGGCAACATAGCGAGACCCTGTCTCTTTTTATAAAAAAGAAAAAAAAATTATATTTAGGAACACAGTAGAACAATATGTAAACTGTTCATCCATTAAAAACAACGCAGTCTGCCAGGCGCAGTGGGTCACACCTGTCATCCTAGCACTCTGGGAGGCCAAGGCGGGTGAATCACTTGAAGTCAGGAGTTCGAGACCAAGCTGGCCAACACGGTGAAATCTCATCCCTATAAAAATACAAAAATTAGCCAGCTGTGGTACATGCTTGTAGTTCCAGCTACTAGGGAGACTGAGGCATGAGAATCACTTGAACCCAGGAGGCTGAGGTGGCAGTGAGCCCAGATTATACAACTACACTCCAGCCTGGGCAACAGAACAACACTCTGTCTCAAAAAAAATAATGGCCAGGTGTGGTGGCTCATGCTTGTAGTTCCAGCACTTTGAGAGGCTAAGACAGGCGGATCACAAGGTCAGGAGTTTGAGACCATCCTGGCCAACATGGTGAAACCCCATCTCTACTAAAAATACAAAAATTAGCTGGGTGTGGTGGCACGCTCCTGTAAACCCGGCTACTCAGGAGGCTGAGGCAGGAGAATCGCTTAAACCTGGGAGGTGGAGGTTGCAGTGAGCAGAGATCACGCCACTGCACTCAAACCTGGGGAACAGAACAAGACTCCCTCTCAAAAAAAAAAAAAAAAAAAGAAGAAGTAAATTTTAAAATCTTCAGGCTAAAATTAGCAGTGTGTCTTCCCTAGTCCTAATTAATCTTCCTTCGCTAGCACAGGAAAGGCCTGATCATGTTGGGGGCTTTGAGAAGAGAGTAAAAACCATACATATAGGTACTTTATAACAGTAATAGCTACAATATATTGAGCATTTACTACATGCTAGAGACAATGCGAGGATTCCTCAAGCATTATTGCATTGAATCCTAACAAAAACCTTATGTAATAGGTATCAATATTATCCACACTTACAGATGATACAACTGAGGTTCAGAGAGGTTAAGTCACCTTCCCAAAGTCACACAGGCAGTGAGCACCGGAGCTAGATTTGCACCCAGTTCCATGGATCTGTGAAGCCTGGCCTCAGATCACTGTGCTCAAAGGTGCTGCATCATTATCTAATGAATTCATGTACACTTTCCCATGCATATGCAGTTCCCTCTCCTAAAATGCGCGTCCTTCTGTCCACCCAGCATATTCCTATTTATTCAAGACCCCAGAGGCCGGGCACGGTGGCTCAAGCCTGTAATCCCAGCACTTTGGGAGGCCGAGGCGGGTGGATCACGAGGTCAAGAGATCGAGACCATCCTGGTCAACATGGTGAAACCCCGTCTCTACTAAATATACAAAAAATTAGCTGGGCATGGTGGCGCGTGCCTGTAATCCCAGCTACTCAGGAGGCTGAGGCAGGAGAATTGCCTGAACCCAGGAGACGGAGGTTGCGGTGAGCCGAGATCGCACCATTGCACTCCAGCCTGGGTAACAAGAGCGAAACTCCGTCTCAAAAAAAAAAAAAAAAAAAAAAAAAAAAAAGACCCCAGATCAAGCATCTGCTCCTCTGCAAAGCTTTCATAACCACTGCCTACTTCCCCATAAGAAAGTTTCTCATTTTCTCCTGTGAATGTCTTCAATGCCTGTGCATTCCTCTGCTGTGGCATTGATATCATACTGTCCTGATTTCTCCAATACATGTCCATCTCCCCCACTGGGACCTATGGGGATAGGTACTATGTCCTGTCCACCTCTATTATGTTTAGCCAGTTAAGTGCCTGGTACAGAATGGGCACCCAAAAAAATACACATTTGTTTAGTGAATTAATTGGGAAGGGAGGAAAGAGAGGGCAGTTCTAATCCACCTTCCTTAAATACCCTACCACAGCTAGCACAGAGTGTTTCCTAAAGATTTTGTGACTAACTAGATGAAAAGATAGATGGACGAATGGATGAAAGGGAAAACGGTAGGGATTCAAGGAAATCGGCACTCACGTGGATGCCCCAGGTTTGCAGTTGCTCTTCTGCGGCTCCCAGATCGAAGGCGATGGGTGCACAGGTGTTGTCGATCCGGAGAACAGTGAGGACCTGGCCATTGTGGAGCTCTGGAAGCAGACCAGAAGCTTCATCTGGCTGACTGATAACCATACTGGGCTTTCGGGGTGAGCCCAAAGCCCGATGGCATCACGCCTCTGGCTGCGAGAACCCCCTTGAAACAAGGAGGGACACAGTGGCCATCCTCAAATCCCCTTGGGAAAAGGACCGGATTTGATTGGGAAGCCCCCAGGAGGCAGAAAGAAGGCCAGAGAGAGGAGGCTACTAGGGCCGCAATGTGAGACCATGTAAGGACGAACTTCCCAAGAGCAAAAGCTGTCCCCATAAAGAATGGGCATTTTTTGTCCCCCCAAAAAATGTTCCCCAACACAAGGAACATTTAAACAGAGACTGAACAGCTAACTACACTGAGGGGTGGACCTTTATTTAAACACTGCAAAGGATGCTCAGCTGAATAAGTTAAATTCCCAGTAGGCTCAGAGAGTCTAAGTAAGAAATAACCAAGCCCAGGAGGCTGAGGCGGCAGTGAGCCCAGATTACACAACTACACTCCAGCCTGGGTAACAGAGCAACGCTCTGCCAAAAAAAAAAGCCAGGTGCAGTGGCTCATGCCTGTAATTCCATCACTTTGGGAGGCCAAGGAAGGCAGATCGTGAGGTCAGAAGTTTGAGACCATCCTGGCCAACATGGTGAAACCCCGTCTCTACTAAAGCTACAAAAATTGCCGGGCGCGGTGGCTCAAGCCTGTAACACCAGCACTTTGGGAGGCCAAGGCGGGTGGATCACAAGTTCAAGAGATCGAGACCATCCTAGTCAACATGGTGAAACCCCGTCTCTACTAAAAATACAAAACATTAGCTGGGCATGGTGGCACGTGCCTATAATCCCAGCTACTCAGGAGGCTGAGGCAGGAGAATTGCCTGAACCTAGGAGGCGGAGGTTGCGGTGAGCCGAGATCGCGCCATTGCACTCCAGCCTGGGTAACAAGAGTGAAACTCCGTCTCAAAAAAAACAAAAAACAAAAAACTACAAAAATTAGCCAGGCGTGGTGGCATGCGCCTGTAATCCCAGCTACTCAGGAGGCTGAGGCAGGAGAACAACGGCCCCAGAGACATTCACACCCCAATCCCCAGAGCCTGCAAATATGCTGTCTTCCATAGCTATGGAAGTACAGGGGCTCATGAGCTGGCCCTTAACAGGGAGACTACCCTGAATCATCAGGGTGGGCCCCAAGAAATCACAAGGAACCTTAAACATGGAAGAGGAGGACAGAGGTAGAGTCAGAGGGAGACGTGACTATGGATGAAAGGTACAGAGGGATGTGGCATCGCTCACTTTGACCATGGCAGGAGAGGCCCACAAGCCAAGGAATGTGGGTGGCCCCAGGGAGCTGGACAAGGAAAGGAAACGGATTTTCCTCAGAGCCTCTAGAAGGAAACACAGTCCTGGCAACTTGGGGGTTTCGGCTCAGTGAGATCAGTGTCAGATTTCTAACTTACAGAACTATAAAATAAGAAATCCAGCTCGGCACAGTGGTTCATGCCTGTAATCCCAGCACTTTAGGAGGCCGAGGCAGGTGGATCACCTGAGGTCAGGAGTTCAAGACCAGCCTGGCCAACATGATGAAACCCCATCTCTACTAAAAATATAAAAATTAACCAGGTGTGGTAGTGGGCGCCTGTAATCCCAGCTACTTGGGAGGCTGAGGCAGGAGAATTGCTTGAACCTGGGAGGCAGAGGTTGCAGTGAGCTGAGATCACACCATTGTTCTCCAGCCTGGGCAACAAGAGCAAAACTCCATCTCAATCAATCAATCAATCAATCAATAACAAATCCGTGGTGAGTTTTGTTTGTTTGTTTGTTTGGAGACAGAGTCTCTCTCTGTCACTCAGGCAGGAGTGCAGCAGCAGAAACTTAGCTCACTGCAACTTCCACCTTCCAGGTTCAAGCAATTCTTGTAGCAATTCTTCCAAGCCTCTCAAGTAGCAGGGACTACAGGCACGTGCCACCATGCTGGGCTAATTTTTATACTTCAGTAGAGACGTGGTTTCCCCATGTTGGCCAGGCTGTCTCGAGCTCCTGGCTTCATGTTATCTGCCTGCCTCGGCCTCCCAAAGTGCTGGGATTACGGGCGTGAGCCACTGCACCTGGCCCAAATCCATGGCTTTTTAAGCCACTATGTTAGCGGTAACTTGTTAAAGCAGCAATAGAAAACTAATACACTGACTTATTGGTAATCCCGCCTACATATAGCTGCAACTCACTCAGCATTTCAAAAGCATAAATTACATGTTTATTCCCTCAAAAAACATGCATCAACCCAGGCTGCTCACAACAGCTACCATATATCCTGTCTTCCAAGGGTGGGATGAAGTCAGACCATGAGACCAGCTGGAGAGAAAGGTCTGGACTGAAATCCCCTCAGGCCCAGTGAGGAATTGCAGCAGTACAAGGCCAAACCTGCCTGCCTGCAGTTCCAAGTAGAGAAACTGGACAAATGGATCGAGATCTCCTTGCGCCACAGTACAAGGCCCCGTGAGCCACTGGTCAGTAGCCAGGAGGTCTGGGGGGGTGGGAGAGATTCCAGCCCTGGGATTCTAGGATCCCAGGTTTCAGCCACACACTGCGGACGAATGGAGATTTTGCCATCTTCTCTGTGGTTGCTGCTTAGACAATGAGGCAGGACTGAAAGGATTCAAGCGTAAGTGTGTTGTCTGCTGGCCCAGAACTGCTGTCACCCTAGTCTAGCTCTGAACAGTACTTGAGTCTTCAAAGCCAAATGACTCACTCTACCTTCCTGGAAATTCCTGGCCCATCCAAACCCTCTTTCTCCCCTCTCCCCCAGTGCATCACCAAGCCCTGCCCACTGGGCAAACAAAACATCTGTCCACTCTGTGCCCTCGTGGCATCCTCACCTCTCCCTTGGCCCTCTGCGGTAGCCTCCTAAGTGGCTTCTGCAAACCTTTACTTCTATGATGCCTCTTCCACACAGTGGCCAGGGTGCAGAGCAGATGATACCAATGCCTTGAGTAAAACTTTCAATAGCTTCCGGGTGCTTTGCAAAAGCCAACCTTGTTACCACATTCTTCCAGCCCTGAGGAAAACTAGCCTCCTGCCAGACTCACCTTGAGACCCTCAGCCTCGTTCTGTGTCTCACCACACCAGCCTCCTTCACTTCCTGAACACATGTCCTCCTCCACCCCCAGCCCTTTGCACATGCTGTGCCTCTCCCTAGAACGCATCTACCTAGCTTCACCCAGTTACGGCCCATGGATCATTTGTACCTCAGCCCATGATTCACTTTCCCCAGAGAGACCTCCCTGACACTCTAAACTCCTAACTGATCAAATCCTCTGCTAAACCTATAACTGAATGCTCTTCTTCTTAATAGTCACCAAAGCGAAATACCTATGTTTGCAATTATTTGATTACATATGCATGCAGTTATTTGAATAAAATCTATCTTCTCCACCAGACTACACACTCCCACACTGCTCTGTTAGTCACTGAATCCCCCGATCTGATACTAACAGGAGACATTAAATACATGTTTGGTGTATAAATGAATGAATAAGGTAGGAAGAGTTTTGTTTTGTTTTGTTTTGTTTTGTTTTGTTTTGAGACAGTGTCTCACTCTGTCACCCAGGCTAGAGTGCAGGGGCACTATATGTCTCACTGCAACCTCCACTTCCCAAGGCTCAAGCAATCCTCCCACTTCAGCCTCCCAAGTAGCTGGGATCATAGGCATGCAACACCACACTCAGCTAATATATATATATATATAGAGAGAGAGAGACAAAGTTTTGTTTTTGTTGTCCAGGCTGGAGTGCAATGGCGTGATCTCAGCTCACGGCAACCTCCACCTGCCGGGTTCAATCGATTCTCCTGCCTCAGCCTCCCAAGTAGTGAAATTACAGGCATGCATCACCACACCCAGCTAATTTTTTTTTTTTTTTGTATTTTTAGTAGAGACAGGGTTTTTCCATGTTGGTCAGGCTGGTCTTGAACTCCCAACCTCAAGTGATCCACTAGCCTCAGCCTCCCAAAGTGCTGGGATTACAGGCGTGAGCCATCACACCTGGCCTTTTTTAAAAAAAATTTTATTTTGTAAAGACAAAGTCACTAAATCACTCAGGCTGCTCTCAAATTCCTGGGTTCAAGCGATCCTCCCATCTCAGCCTCCTAAAGTGCTGCGATTATAGGCCTGAGCCACTGCAGCCAGAGAGTAAAAGGTTCTTTTTTGATACACTGGGATATCATCTATGATCTCAAGGGTTCCACAGAATTCTCAATTCTACATCCTGCCAAAAAGAACTTTATTTTGTGTTTCTCTCTCTCTCTTTTTTTTTGGAAGTGGTGGGGGAGATGAGGACGCCAGGTGGTCAGGTGGTGAAAATATAAGCTAGATAGTTTTGGGGTTCAAATTGGAGCTCAGCCTCTCACTAACATGGTAAGTTGAGGAAGCAACTTGAACCTGTGAGCCTGTTCCCTCGCTTAGAGGATGCACATCCACTGCAGAGGACTTTACAAATAATTAAGATGATAAAAATAGCCGGGCGCGGTGGCTCAAGCCTGTAATCCCAGCACTGTGGGAGGCCGAGGCGGGTGGATCACAAGGTCAAGAGATCGAGACCATCCTGGTCAACATGGTGAAACCCCGTCTCTACTAAAAATACAAAAAAAAAATTAGCTGGGCATGGTGGCGCGTGCCTGTAATCCCAGCTACTCAGGAGGCTGAGGCAGGAGAATTGCCTGAACCCGGGAGGCGGAGGTTGCGGTGAGCCGAGATCGCGCCATTGCACTCCAGCCTGGGTAACAAGAGAGAAACTCCGTCTCAAAAAAAAAAATAAAAAAAATAAAGTGCTCAGCACAAGACGGGTACAAAATAACTGGCTATTTTCATAATTTAAAAGCAAGTTGTCACAACTCAAAAGTTACAATCAAGCAACCTTGATTTATTTGTGTTTTTACCCTCCCACATCTTGTTCCAGAAGGGATTTAAGGTGGTTTCATAAAAGTAAAATATGAAAAGATAAAACTAGCTGGGCATGGTGGCTCATGCCTGTAGCCCCAGCACTTTGAGAAACTGAGGCAAGCGGATCATTTGAGCTCAGGAGTTTGAGACCAACCTGGGCAACATGGCGAAAAACCCTGTCTCTACAAAAAAATACAAAAAGCCAGACATGGTGGCACGTGCCTGTAGTCCCAGCTACTTGGGAGGCTGGGGTGGGAGGATCACCTGAGCCTGGGAAGTCAAGGCTATAGTAAGCCAAAATCATGCCACTACATTCCAGCCTGGACAGCAGAGTGAGATCCTGTCTCAAAAAAATAAGTAAGTAACTAAAACTATAAAAACAATTTTTTTTGACTTGGATTTTTGCTCTTGTCACCTAGGCTGAAGTTCATTGGCATAATCTCAGCTCACTGCAACCTCCACCTCCCAAGGTCAGGCAATTCTCCTTCCTCAGCCTCCCTGGTAGCTGGGATTACAGGTGCACACCACCACACCCAGCTAATTTTTGTCTTTTTAGTAGAGACAGGGTTCACCATGTTGGCCAGGCTGGTCTCAAACTGCTGACCTCAGGTAATCCACCCACCTAGGCCTCCCAGAGTACTGGGATTACAGGTATAAGCCAATGTGCAGAGCCTAAAAATAAACTTTATAATAAGCAAATGGGGAAAACCAGACAAAACAAAAAGAAAGGCAATAAGAACAGGTTCTGGGTATGGAGCCCTTTACTAAGTGTCAGATACGACGCTTGAGCTTCATTCATGATTTCAATTCATCCTCCAAGAGCCCCCCAAAGCTGGGTACCATCAGCATGGAAAAGAAAACTGAGCCTTCGAAAAGCAAAGAAACTCCCTTGTGCACAAGGAAAATGAAAGTGAGAACAAGAAGCGAGAAAGGAAGGTAGTGTACAAAATGCAGGCAGTCAAGCAGATCCGGTCTGAGACCAGCTCTCCCCTTCACAGCAAGAATGAAAACCCCACTTTGATTTGGACTCCACACATGGAGAATCGGAACCATTCCCAGGTCTAGTTCGTTGTACACTGAGTTATGTGTTTGCCCAAGCAATGCAAAGAGCTTTCAGGATGTCTTCATTTGCCTTTCAAACCAAGAGTTCCTAGATTCTTGGCAATACCAGCTCTCATCTGTTCCTTAAAGTGAGAACAGCAAGTCCTCCACTTAAAAATACTTGCTTTTACATCTTCGCTAAGCAAAGCTACGAAAGAAAAATGTGTGTGTCTGTGTTTGTGTGTGTGTGTGTGTGTGTTTGCACGCACATGCGGGGGGGGCAGTTTCCTACAGAGGAACAAGAACTGACGTGCCAAAAATCAGTGGAGCAATGTCTTCGAAGTTCTGACGGAAAAATTATTTCATTCCATCTTGTTCTACTATTGTGTGTGTATGTGTACACACTGCTTACCTTACATATATATGTGTGCATATATATATACACACACACACATATTTATAAAAAAAGGAAAACAATGTGTGTGTATATATATGTTTGTGTGTATATATGTACACACACACACATATATATGTATATATATATATACACACACACACACACACACACACACACACACACACAAACATATATATTGTTTTCCTTTTTTTTTAATATATAAAGACAGGGTTTCACCATGTTGGTCAGGCTGGTCTTGAACTCCCGACCTCAGGTGACCTGCCTGCTTTGGCCTCCCAAAGTGCTGAGATTACAGGTTTAAGCCACCGTGCCCGGCCACACATTGTTTTCCTAACAATCGTAGTAATAAAAGAAGACTTTGTTTTTAAGCAGTCAAATTTCAAAACCTCCAAAAAACCCTCCACATTCCTGTAGACACCCACAATTCTGGGTGCTCTTCTCCTTTATCCATATCTGGCTACTCATTAATTCATTCATTCAACAAAATATTTATTGAGCATCAACTATGGGCCAAGGCCTGTGCTAGGTACTGTAGATACAGGGATGAAAAAGAGAGGAGTCCCCTTCCTTCAGGGAGCTTACACTCTAGTGAAGAAGCCAGACTTGACTTTATACAAAGATAATTATTTACCGAGTATGATAAATGCTAGAGGAGAAACAGGAAGATATCAGAAGGTCCTGACAGGCTGAGCCACCAGCAAGATTCTTCAAGGAAGGGATATTGGAACTGAGTTCTGAAGGATGAATGAAAATTCTTTTTTTTTTTTTTTTTTTTTTTTTGAGACAGAGTCTTATTCTATCACCCAAACTGGAGTCTAGTGGTGTGATCTCAGCTCACTGCAACCTGTCTCTCAGGTTCAAGTGATTCTCCTGCCTCGGCCTCCCTAGTAGCTGGTATTACAGACACCCGCCAATACATCCAGCTAATTTTCATATTTTTGGTAAAGACAGGGTTTCACCATGTTGGCTAGGCTGGTCTCGAACTCCTGACCTCAAGGGATCCACCTGCTTTGGCTTGCCAAAGTGCTGGGATTACAGGTGTGAGCCAGCATGTCTGGTGGATTAATGGAAATTTATCAGGGGAACGGAGGCAAGGAAAAAGCACAACAGGCAGAAGGAACAGCAGGTGCAAAGGTGCTGAGGCAGAACAGCACAGCAAAGAACATGAAGGTAGGCCTTGCAAGCCAATACTGATGGGTCTTCACACTAAGCCCAATGGGAAACACGAAGCAGAAAGTGACATGGTTGGACTGAATGTGTATTTTAAAAATATCTCTTGGGCCAGGTGTGGTGGCTCACACCTGTAATCCCAGCACTTTGGGTGGCCAAGGTGGGCAGATCACCTGAGGTCAGAAGTTTGAGGCCAGTCCGCTCAACATGGTGAAACCCCATCTCTACTAAAAATACAAAAATTTAGCTAGGTGTGGTAGTAGGTGCCTGTAATCCCAGCTACTTGGGGAGCTGAGGCAGGAGAATTGCTTGAACTTGAAAGGTGGAGTTTGCAGTGAGCTAAGATCATGCCACTGCACTCAGCCTGGGCAACAGAGTGAGACTTCATCTCAAAAAAAAAAAAGGTCTCTGGGCCCCATTCCTGTAACCCTAGCATTTTCAGAGGCCAAAGCAGGAGGACTGCTTGAGGCCAGGAGTCTGAGACCAGCCTGGGCAACAAAGTAAGGCCCCATATCTACAAAAAAGATTTTTTAATTAGCAGGATGTGGTGGTGCAGGCCTGTAATCCCAGCTAGTCAGGGGGCTGTGGGAGGACTGCTTGAGCCCAGGAGTTCAAGGCTGCAGTGAGCTATGATCACACCACTGCACTCCAGCCAGGGTGGCAAAGCAAGCCCCTGTCTCTAAATAAATAAAAATAAATTAGAAATATAAATAAATAATAAAAAGCTCTCTTGCTGCTATGTAGAGAATGGATGGAAAAGAGAAGACCAACAAGCAAGCTACAGCAGGGGCTCAGCAGAGGGTGATGGTGGCTTGGTCTACGGCCAAGAGCGAGAACTGGTAAAAATGACGGAACGTGGCATACAGCTGTATCTCAAAGACACCTCCCCCGACCTTATCTAAAGGAGCTTTTACTCCCTGTGGGTCCAGCTCAGCATGAGGTAGAAAGGGGGTGGAAAAAGAAAGGTGGTGACCTTACCTTGCCCCCAGCCAGGAGGGCTCCCTCCAGGCAGGGCACTCCAGCCAGGGGAGGAGGGAGGCAACGGGCCAGCGGCCCCCAGGTCCACCTGTGGTTCACAGGCCATGGCAGGGTGCCAGCTGTTCCTACTTCCCCTTCTCAGAGCTGTGGTTCATTCTGCAGCGGCCAGCTCAGCATCAAATGCCTTCAAAACACAGCACAAAAAAAGAACTTCAGGCCTGGGCCTGGGCAAGCTGCTGCTTCCTAGGGCTCTCTCCAGGGTGGAAGTCACCAGGGAGAGCCACCCAGAGTGTTTTTGTCGACTTTGGCCTTTCTGAATGTGCTGAAAAAAATTCCCAGAAGGAGAAGGAGGAGGAAGAGAAACTAAAACCCTCCAAGGCCCAAACTGAGAACTTCCCTTCTGGTCTTGGGTCTTCTCCAGCTCAGGCAGGCACAGACAGGGGCCCACGGGGAACTCAAAAGATGACCAGGCCCCACTCCCAGGCAGCTGGGATTTCTATACCCTCACGGAGGATGCCCCAGGCAACCTGGCACAGGACAGGTGTATTCATTACAGGGAGTCTTGTTTACACACAAGATCTCAAGTAACTTCTCATGAGACATTGAGAAGTTACAAGCAAAATACAAAAAAAAAAAAAAAAAAAAAAAATCAGCCAGGCATGGTAGCCCACGCTTGTAATCCCAGCACTTTGGGAGGCTGAGGTGGGCAGATCATCTGAGGTCAGGAATTGGAGACCAGCCTGGCCAACATGGCAAAACCCTGTCTCTACTAAGAATACAAAAATCAGCTAATGAAAGGCTGAGGCAGGAGAATCACTTGAACCTGGGAGGTGGAGTTTGCAGTGAGCCAAGATTATGCCACTGCACTCCAGCCTGAGTGACAGAGCAAGACACTGTCTCAAAAAAAAAAAGAAAAGAAAAAAGTAGCTGGGCGCGGTGGCTCAAGCCTGTAATCCCAGCACTTTGGGAGGCCGAGGCGGGTGGATCACAAGGTCAAGAGATCGAGACCATCCTGGTCAACATGGTGAAACCCCGTTT